TCCTTCCCCTTTTATCACCAAGATGTTGTTCCTCAACTGCTTTCTACGCAGCTGGTATTTTAATACTACCCAAACTTCAGATTTTACTTACTACCACCACATAAATCCCTTCTATATAAAGCCTGGTCTACATACGGATTTTGAACTGGTAAAACTATTTCCATCAAGCGATAAGGCAGCCATACCTTTAGCCAAAATAAGTATTAGGCTGTCTTCACTGCCAAAAGGTGAGGTTTCCCTCTTCCCTAACCCACGCTCAACAGTAAAACAGTTCACCTGCATCCCATTATTTTTCTACCCAGGTTTACCTCCTTTCCCCACGCTACCGTAAAAAAACCTGATGGAGACCAGAGTATTTTTACGGCAAGATAACCTGATGCATATTAATTCCATCATGGAGAGGCACCACAACCACACCTACATTAGCACTGCCCGCCAGCTTTACTGCCTCCCTACTTGGAAGTTGTACCAAACTCAACCACATACATAATCTTTACCTCTTTCCTACTTCCTTGTTTAGCCACAGCTACTTCATTTATCCCTCCTGTTTGTAGAGCAATTTTAAATGGCATGCGTTTTTAAAGGTATATCAATTTATTTGAACAGTTTTTATCTCCTCTGTTTTCCCCCTTAACTTTCATATTCTTTCCCTATTTTCAACATTTTTCTCTTAAACAATAAATCAAATCTCTCAAGGTGACACTTGTTAAGAAAAAAGAAGTTTGGGGCTTGAAATTTTTATTACAAGGTCCCACAGTAATACAGCTGTTTTTCTTTCTTTTTTTTTTTTTTTACGTTACATGATTTTGCAGCTTTTCAGTCAGTGTTCTGATCAATATATCATTAGTTGATATATCCATAAGGCAGACATGATATTTTAAAACAAAATGCAAAATACACGTGGTTTTTCTAACATTTTTTCTTGTGTTCATCTCTGAGCTCTTAAACTAGACACTAAAAGTCCCTGCACTGAAATTGTCCCTGAAGGCTTTCATGTCAATTGTAGAGTCCTATGATAATACCCTGTCTTTGTAAAAACATTAGTTGCTGAACACCAACACTGACATAGGTTACAATTTGTGCACTGATTGGGTGCATCTACACAAGATGCTTTAGCGCGCATTTGACTAACTGACTGTGCAGTAAAATGTCACCATCTACATGTACAGACACTTACTGCATAGTCAATATTGGCATTTTTACACATGCAAGCACCACAATGCAGGGCACTTTGAAAAGCACCCAGCACTGCATCACTCGCAGTCGTACAAGAGGCAAAACGCGTGTCAGTGTGCAGAAAGTGGCGGTGGCATGCTTTTGAACTAAAGTACATGGAAGCAATGTTCCCTCTAACGTTTAGTGATCCGGTGCAATCCTGGCTGGGAGTGCACAGGTATCTCAGTGTACCCACCCCTTCCCCACCCTGCAGCAGCCTATGGCCAGGTTAGGGCAGGTGGCAAGTGGCCAGATCTGAAGTCGCTGGCGGCAGCTAAGGGAACATCAGCACCTGCTTGCTATGGCTCTGGGTGTCTCCCCAGGCTGGTACCTGGGCGCCATACCCGCCCCCCACCCTCCAATGGTGTGCACAGCATTAAAAAAAACAAACAAACAAACGATTGTGCGGCACGATTTTTTATTGTGCGCAGCCACGCACACACAAAGCTGCATGTAAGGTGCTTTAATACAAAAGTGCATCGCCACCATTTTCTGCGTGCTAACTCACATTTCACGCCACTTATACACCTGCATGCACTGCAGTGTGGTGTACATCAGCTTGCATGCAGAGCAGGCTTGATTAATCAAGTCTGCTCCAAAGCAGTGGATCTCCTGCATGCAGTGGGATGATAAGGTGTGTATATAAATGCCCTTAGTCAACTGCAAAGTTAAATTTGCTACCTGCAGTAGTGAATGCGCAGTAGCCCATGCAAAGCTGACCCTAACAGGGTGCACGGCCTAGATATGGCCGGGTGGGGGGTGGGGGGGGAAGAATCAGTTGGATGCGAAGCCAGCGGGCAGCGCAGAATCACCAGCACTAGGCAGGCCATGTAGGAGGGGCTGTGGCCACCCCACCTGGCTCTGTGGGGGACCCCAAAATGCACCCCTCCCCCCCAGCCCTGAGCCCACATGTAGTAGCCCATGCAATCAGAGCCAGGGCCAGGAGCTGCCAGCTGCCGGGGCAGGGGAACATGGTCTAGGCCCAGGCTCTGCACTCGGAGCCTACCCTGACAGCAGGCAGCTCCCAGGGCAGGGAGCAATCTATCTGCTGACTGCAGAGCCAGGAACTGCCTGCTGCTGGAGCAAGAGGACATTGTCCCAGCTCCAGCTCCACACTTAGAGCCCGGCCCAGCAACAGCTAGCTCCCAATCATGGAGTCAGGGCCAGGAGCTCCCTGCACCAAGAGAGTTCCCCGCCTAGCCCAGGGTGACCTGGGACCTGCCCAGGAACAGGACAGGTTGCAGCCAGCCCTGGGCTATGCAGGGAAGCCCTGCTGGGCACAGGGCTTGTCCCCATGTGCATGGGGCAGGAGAGTTCTACAGCAGCAGATCTCCTGCCCCATGTACATCAGGACCCCTCCAGATGTGTATGAAGCCAAGAGACAGCTACTCTCTGTCAGCCCCTGAACTAGCACCTAGGGGGAGCCTGGAACCCCCCCTGGCTGCTGTAGGGGGGCACAGCAAGGCTGGAGCAGCCCTCTCTGGACTGCTCCCACTGGGAGCACCTGTAGACGTGCTCCCCTGGTAGGCTTACTGAACAGTATTTTTACTGGGCAGTAAGCTTACTTTGAATCAGTAACACATGCAGACGTGCCCATTAGGAGTCTAGATGGAAGACTTCCAGTGTCTTGGATAAGCACTAATCCCATAATCATTAAGTACTGCATCAACAATTCTCATTAAAAAACTAGGGAACTGTGGTGTCGACACCTGTTGACGCCTACACAGTCAAATGGGTCGCTAACTGTCTGGAGGGCTGCACCCAGAGAGTGGTGGTGGATGGGTCATTTTCGACCCGGAGGGATGTGGGCAGTGGGGTCCCCCACGGCTCGGTCCTTGGGCCTGCACTGTTCAACATCCTCATCAGTGACTTGGACAAGGGGGTAAAAAGCACCCTGTTCAAATTTGCTGACGACACTAAGA